GGTCAACAATTTGAAACTACCAGCCATTCCATGGGAGAAAGATTAGGTTTTCTTCTCCCATAAAGATTTACAGCCTTGGAAACCCTATAAAGGGTCACTATGAGTCAGAACTGAGTTCACGGCACATAACCACCACCACCTACACTTAAAAGCAAGTTTCAGAGTCTCTCCTGAAATCCATTTGGTCTTTTATTTCTTTCCTGTCTTTTTAAAAACCTTATGTATTTTTCATGGATGATGTTCTTCATGTCATCCCACAACTCTTCTGGTCTTCAGTCTAATACATCAAATCTGTTCTTGAAATGGTCTCTAAGTTTAGGTGGGACATGTTCAAGGTCATATTTTGGCTCTCATGGACTTGTTTTCATTTTCTTCAGCTTCAGCCTAAACTTGCATATAAGCAATTGATGGTCTGTTCCACAGTCTGCCCTGACCTTGTTTTGGCTGACGATATTGAGCTTTTCCACTGTCTCTTTCCACAGATGTAGTCAATTTGATCCCTGTGTATTCCATCTGGTGAGGTCCTGTGTATGGTGGTGGTATGCCATGGAGTTGGTTCCAACTCATAACAACCCTGTATAGGGTTTCCAAGCTTGTAAATCTTGATGGGAGCAAAAAGCCTCATCTTTCTCCCCCAGAACAGCTGGTAATTTTGAACTGCTAGACCTTGAGGTTAGCAGCCCAACTCATAACCACTATGCTACCAGAGCTCCATGAGATCCTGTGTATAGTCAGCTTTAATGTTTTTTTTTATTATTTAAATAAGTGTTTATTGTGAACTGAGTGCTAGTTTACATGGGAAAACATTGGCTTCACACCATAGTTTCACTGCAATGATTACAGGTCTCCTCCGTGCATCATCATTCAACAGTATTTGCTTTCATTCCCGGTTTTTGTGGGGTTTTTTGGGGGGAGGCAGGGGGAGATGTACAGAGAAAGACTCAGGAACATATAATAATTTAAACAACCAATGGGCACATTCTGCAAGCCTGCCTCCAGCCTGCCAGCACCTGGCCGCCAGCACCCAGTCCCTCTCTTTCCATGAGTCTAGAGTCCTCAGCTGCTCTATTTCTCAATGTCATCATCTCTGCCTTCATCTCTGGTGTCGCTGCTTCTCCGGATAGGGCCCCACATTCTGTTCATGCTCTTCTCCCTTGATGGTCCTAGGGTCCTCTGTTCTTGGACTGTAAGATTAACTATCCCCCCCGCCCCTTTTGGTACACAACTTCTACCTTTACAGTTGTGACAGTTGCAATTAGTCATGATAACAATTACTCACTATTGAATCATAAGAATCTCATCCCCATCTCTTTTCACCAGACCCGTCTAGACAAGATGAAAACTATTCAGTGGGGATTCTACCTTCCCCTGCACACTCTTAAATTGAACTCCCTCTTGAAAACTTGCAAGCTCGTCACTTTGTACCTTTATCACCCCCTCATTTTAGGTAGCCAATGCCTAAGTTGCCCATCCCTATTGAAGGAATACCATTGATACTTGATGTGAAGACTCTTTCCCTCTCAGTTGGTATTTGAGCTACTACATCTGTAAGTATAGGTCAAGTTCATCAAATTGTAGCAATTTACACTCGTTTGCTTTATCAAAAATTGTTGGGTTTTGTTTTGTTTTTTTAAATCTTCCTCTAGTTGAGTTTTTATTATCAAGCCATCAAGGCTAGGTCAAATGGGTACTATCTGCAAGTTTGGACATTCTTGTGCATTTCCCCTCACTTGATATCAGCTGGATGCTTCAATCTCAGCTCAGGAATCCCCAGGTCTAACCGCACTTCGGACCAACCAGCCCTTCCTCTTTCTCTCCTCTTCAGATCAGCAGTAGTCTATGGAGCGTGACTGAACTCAGCCCATTTCTTCATTGCTGCCTTTCCCTCTCTTCCACTCACCACTAGACCAACATGGTCGCCAGCAAGCTTACATGGCTGCTTATGTGTTCCCTTTGAGTTTCAGTCTTGGAGGGGGGTTTGTTCTGAAGGGACTTGATGGCTTCCCAGTGAACAACTTGTTCTTGTAGTAGCCAATTCATACTGCCATTTTTGTTTTGGATTTTAATGTTGTTTTAAAAGGGTAATTGTAATGAATAAGTCTTACAAAATTTGATCATAGGATCTCCAGCATCATTTCTATCACCAAGGCCATATTTTCCAAGTACAGATCCTTCCTCTTTGTTTCACATTCTAATCACCAATAATTATTAATGCATCTTGATTGCATGTTCGATCAATTTCATACTGAAGAAGTTTGTAGAATTCTTCTATTTCATCATCACTGGCTTTAGTAAGTGGTGCTTAAATTTGAATAATAGTGGTATTAACTGCTTTTCCTTATAGGTTTATGGATATTAACCTATTACAGACAGTACTGTACTTCAAGATATATCCTGAAATATTCTTTTTGATGCTGAATGCAACATCATTCCTCTGAAATTTGACATTCCTGGCATACTCCACCATATGATTGTCTGATTCAAAATGGCAATGCCAGGCCATTTCAGCTCACTAACGCCTAGGATAGGGATCTTTGTGGTTCTATTTCATTTTTGACAACTTTCAATTTTCTTAGATTCACACTTCATACATTCCGTGTTCCAATTATTAATGGATGTTTGCAGCTGTTTCTTCTCATTTTGAGTTGTGCTCCATCAGCAAATGCAGGTTTCAATTTCATTGCTCCATTCAAGTCATTATGGTCAACTTTACTTTCAGGAGGCAGTCATGTTTTGATTGCCTTCCAACCTTAGGGGCTCTTCTTCTGGCCCTATATCTGACAAGGTTTTGCTGGTACTCATAAGGTTTTCAGTGGCTAAACATTCAGAAGTAGTCCACCTTTTCTATTTGTAGAGCCACTGCTGGTGTTGTTTAGTGTTTGGAGTCAGTTCCAACTCACAGGGTTTCCAAGAAGTAGCTGGTGGGTTTGACCCTACAGAATCACTTGTTGCAAATAGATCTATATCAAAATTACCTGGGCTGAGGAGATAGCATTGCTTAACTTTAACAAATTAATGAGCAAATCTGTCAGCTAAAACTTAGAAATTGATAATGGATTTAGTCCCCAAATGTTCCCAAAAGAAATGTATATCTGCTGTAGACTTAAGAATAACTAGGCCCCGCATACATCAGTATTGGAACCAAGTGTTGGAATCCTTTTCTATCATTGTCATCACCTATTTGAACGAAGATGGTAAGTACCTTTGGGTCTCTCATCATTGTTATAACACTCAGAGCTTCTGTCATTCAAGTCAACAAATACTTTTTTGAAGTCTCACAATGGGGGAGACACTTCGCTATCATTATGGAAGAGTAAAAGAAAAATAAATAGGGCTCCTGGACTCCAGGAATTTATCATCTAATAGATGGAAGAAGAAGAATAAGAAGAAAAAAACCCCACACATACAGGAATAATTTGTTTTACATTAAAATGGTGCTATATAGAGTAAGTCCTATTATAAATGTATAATTGAATCCCAAATTGAGCTGGCTTAGTATTTAAGAGAGTTTCAGTGTCTATCTCAGTATATTTCACAAAGAAGATTTGGGCTACCAGATTATTCTCCAAACAGTACTGTCTACATAATTTGTGGAGCCCGGTACAAAGTGAAAATGCAGGGCCCCCTGTTGAGAACTTAAGAATCTCAGGACAGTGACAGTAGAGAGTTAAACCAAAAGTGGGCCTTGTACAACTGCACAGGTTGTACACACCTGAAACTGGCCTGTCTCCAACTAGAGTTAGTTTCTGAATATGAGGAGGAGGCAAAGTTTGAGCAGTTCAAGGGAGGGAATTATCCAGGAAGTTGTCTTCCAACTAGTTCACAGGAAAATACAATCATTCTATGAAAAGAAAATAATTTGGTCTTTCCCAAATTAACAAATGGGGTGAGATATAAAATATAGAAAGAGTACAATTTCCAAAGACAATCTCACCAGGTAAGCGTGGTGATGATAATAATAATAAGGTGTACATTTACTGATGCACAGAGCTTATCATGTGCCAGGATTATTCCAAGTATATTTACTCCGTTCATCCTCAGAACAGCAAAACAGCTCTGGAAGTTTGATTCTATTATACCTATCTTACAGATAAGAAAACTGACCTTAAAGAGGCTGAGTAATTATCGCTGGTCAAATAAATAATTTGCTCACAGCAAGCAAGTGCCTGGGGCCAGGATTTGGACTCAGTTTAGCTCTAGGTCTATATTCTTAATCACTGTTTATGCTAAACCCCAAATAAAACCAAACCCAGTGTCTTGGAGTTTATTTCAACTTACAGGATCCTATAAGAGTAGAACTGCCCCATAGGGGTTGTTGTTGTTCAGTGCTGTGGAGTTGGCTCCATCTCATAGCGACACTGTGCACAACAGAACGGAACACGGCCGCCCACTGCTACTGTCACTGTGCAAAGCCATCTTGTTTGGGGTTTATAAACCATAGAGTTTGTTGTTGTTGTTAGGTGCCATGGAGTCAGTTCTAATGGTGACCCTGTATAGTGTTTCTGAGGAGTGACTGGTGAGTTTAAACCACCGACCTTGTGGTTAGTAGTCAAGTGCTTATCCTACAGCACCACACCAGGGTTTTGTTGCTGTTGTTGAGTGCTGTCGAATCAATTTCGATTCATAGAGATCCTGTACAGGGTTTCCAAGGAGCAGCTGGTAGGTTTGAGCTGCCAACCTTGTGATTCACAGTCCAGTACTTACCCTACAATGCCAAGGCTGTAAAGCTTTAAGGAAGCAGACTGCCATGTCTTTCTTCCTCAGAGTGCCTAGTAAGTTTGAACCAATGACTTTTGGTTAACAGCCAAGAACCTAACCACTGCATCACCAGGGTTCCTTCTAATTCAGCTACCTCTAAATATACTCATTTAAAAGGAAGGAAGTTATCCCAGTATATTCATATTCATTCATTCATATCATGAATTTGGTTTAACTGGAGTATATTGTGTGCTGTGTGCATGTTTTTAATTTTTTTCTTTTTTTGCATTTCATGTTCTTAGTTTAACAGCACCCGCTCGCCCTCCCCCACTGAGTGTTGCCACATGACCCCTTGGAGTAGAAAGGTATTGGCTCTGAGAACCTTCCTTCACAGCCCTACCCCACTCTCTCCACAAACTTTCATTTTCTTCTCTTTAATTTTACTGCAAACTCTCTTTCTAACTAACGGTGTTTTCTTGTCAATCAACATAGAGAGCGGTATTTTCCTAACTTGAATTAAATCAAGTATAATGTAGACAACTATGCCTTTGGATTTTTGCCCATTTACTGTCCCCTCCCCGCTAAATTGCAATTAAGGGCATCATCTGATGCTGTTCCTGGACTTTGTAATTTCCAGGAAAGAAATTCAGACTTGCCCTATATTTATCAGAAGTGTTAGATTCAGCTTCTCAAATCAAAACCAAGAGTGGGACAAAATGATTCTGTGGGTCTGGGCTGTAGTCAGGTCCCCATTCTTTCTGTGTTCCCCAGTCCATTGTTATTCAAGGAAGGAATCACCTACAAAATGGAGGGTGGGGGTCGCTCCAGCTCTAGCTCACTTGCACACTGGCTCTTGGTCTCTCTCTCTCTCTCTTTCTGTCCCTTTTGCATGCACCAAACTTTTTTTTTCTCTTTGGAAGTTACCTAGGAAACAAAGTCTTTTGTGCCCGAACTTTATTTGAGCTATTCACTTCGCTGGGAATCTGCACAAAAGCTGAAGAGAGAAAGAAGGTTGCAGGCAGTCTTTTACTAAAATGTTCATGGCGAACACATTTTTCTCAAGGGGGGGAATCATATCCTCTTGGGTGTGTTGGGGGGCTGCGCAGGAACCTCTGACAAGGTAAGCAAATGCTGTGTGTTCAATCAAGAGGCTCTGTAATCAGCTCCTTAAGGGCATGAGAACCATTCATTTGACAGTCTGTGAAATCCTTTGAAGCAACATAAGATTGCTAAATGTGAGAAGAGAAATGAAAGCTAAATGAGCCTGGCTTCAATATAGAATATTATAGAAAGCTTAATGAAATAAGAGGAAAAGTATTAATTTTAAACAAATGTTCACCTTCTTCTAAATTGTGTAAACAAATAACACTCAGTTCAGTGATGAAAACTGGGTCTTTTAATAATCTGATGTAGCAAGCCAACTTGGAAATAAAAATCAGGATGGAGTCTTTTTAATAAGCTGGGCTAGGAGTCTAACTCTGAAATAAAAGTTAGACAAGATTAATGTTTATCAAAGAATTCTCAAATGCCGTATAGAAGTGAAAGCACCCTAACTTGTACAACTGGGAGAAAAGCTTCACACTTCTGCAAACCCCACAGAAAATAGCCTCCCAGATTTGAAAACAAAATACACTTGAATCTTTCTCAGTAACAGCATTTGTATTTTCCACTGGAGTTGGGAGGGGAAGACTGTTACTTTGGCTTTTCCCTGTGTATACAGTATCCATAAAAGGGTGCTGCTGAAATGGTTTTCACTAATGCTGGAATCCTACAGTGAAATGAACTGGCCCCTTGGATTTGGTTGGCTTGTCTTTCAGGTACTTGGTTTTGGAATGACTCCTGCCTCTAGGTTTTCTGGCATGCTTTCTGAATTTTGACACAGGCATCTAAGTCATCGCCTTCCTTTGATCCTAGCCACCTAGCATTCGATAGGAATTTATGGTGACATAGATATCCAGCTGTGGACCTGGCTTCCACTGGATTCGAGATTCATATTTCTTTTTACTTTGAAGTTTAGAGATTTCTGGTTACTTTATCTCTCTTCTGAATCCACTTAACCTAAAGAGCATGTTTATTTAGCCTATTTTTCCTTTGCCTTTGTGTCTCTTGACTATTGAAATCATACTTTGAATTAGTTGTGTGTTCTACCTTCAGAAATTTCTCCTTTGTCCTGAAAACTTATTTCTGACTTCATGTCTCTTAACTAAACTGTGAAATGCCTTATATGTGTGTTTGTGAACTAAGAAGGCTGAGTCTGTATATATTTCATTTGCAGTCTCATCCCCCAGAGGATGAAGATACAGATGTCATGTTAGGGCAGAGGCCGAAAAACCCGATACACAACATCCCCTCAACACTGGATAAGCAGACCAACTGGAGCAAAGCCCTACCTCTCCCAACACCAGAGGAGAAGATGAAACAAGATGCCCAAGTGATTTCTTCTTGCATTATTCCCATCAATGTCACTGGTATGGTTCTGTTCTTTTCTTAGGGGCAATTGGGTTGGAATATTCTGTCTGTTAGATATAGCCAATATTTGTGTTGCTGGGACTACCATTAAGATACCACTTAATAAACAGGTAATAACTTTTTCATCCAAATTGTTGTTGTTGTTAAGTGCCATCGAGTCGGTTCCGACCCATAGCGACCCTGAACAGGGTTTCCGAGGCTGTAAATCTTTACGGGAGCAGAAAGCCTCATCTTTCTCCCACAGAGCAGCTGGTAGTTTCGAACTGCTGACCTTGTGGTTTGCATCCTGATTCGTAACCACTACGCTACCAGAGCTCCTTATACAACTCAAAAAATGTGTACAATGCTTTAGTTAGATTTTTAACAATAATTTGCATATGCTGTGCTGTGCCATTTTTTTTGTAAATGATAGTTTCTTTGTGAGAGAAAAAAAAAATTAACTGAAAGCTCTCTGGCCATAGCTGACTGAACTAATGGAGAAAGTGGCAGTGATTAATCACATGATAATGCGTGGCACTACAAGAAAGAAAACCACAAGCCCCAGGTTTCTAAAATTGCAAGTAATGGTCATATAGGCCAACAACAAAATTTGTTTCCATGCTTCCTTGGATGAAGGTAGGCTTTTTTACAAAGATCAAGGAGACTTTAAGGATTGACTCTAAGGATTTTTAAGCTAACAATTTATGGATGCCTAGATGAAGGCTGTATTGTATTCTAAAACCAGTAAGCCTTTTTGTCTTTCATTTTCTACTCCTCCTTCTGTATAGTAATAGTTTATCAGTCTAGGTAGAATAAAAGCCTGTTTGCATTGTACTTTCCGTGTATATTGGCAACAATTTTAAATTCTAGAATTGAATCTGGTAACTTTAGTTATAAGTAAAATAGTGTTATGGAACACTCAGATGTTCAAGAGAGAAATTAACAGATCTATACATTGGGCTTTCTTTAAACATCTATAGTATTTATACTTTATTTATATATTGACATTTTAAGAACAGCCATATTTTGAGTCTTTTTCATTCTGGTAATCTGTGACTAATGATTATCTATCTCTTGAGATGTGTTTGGAACATGGATAGTATTAACCTCGCTCACATTTCTCTCACACAAAGAGAGAAGCCAATGGTGATTAGGTATCTGGGGCAGATATTATTTCCTTCCTGAAAAAAAGAGAGTTTAGTTGATCATGAGCTGGAAGTTTATTTTTTTGATTACTTATTCAACTTGGAGGATAAATTTTTCTAAGGATCTTCACTTATCTGACTTCCATAATTGAAACGGGATGTATTAGGAAGTTCAGCTGCCCAGACATATCATTTTGACACCCTCTTAAACTAACTTTCAACTGTGGGAACATCAGCACCTGCTTTCTTGAGGGCACTGTCAGTAAAATCTTGTTTTCCAATTTAGTACCATGATTATAAGGTGTCCTTGTGGCATGCTGGTTAAGCGCTGAAAGGTCAGTTCTTATGCCCTACTAACCAATCCTCAGGAGAAGGTTGTGGCAGTCTCCAACCATAAAGATTACAGCCTTGAACTTATATGAAAAGACAAGTAAAACCAAATGTATAGAGGCCAAAGTTTACTCGTTTCCTGCCAGGGGCAGGAGGGAGAGGGAAAAGAAGGGCTAATTGTGATAGAAAAATCCCATTTATTAAGGGTAGGGTTGCGCAGACAATTATTGTTTTGCTTTCAGTAAGTTGTACACATAGAAAAAGTTGAATTGGCAAAAGTTGTGTGAGATATATATTTACAATAGCAACAATACACACACAAAAAGTAGCTGATGAGGCTTTTTGTGTACTACTAGAAGTTTCCTGGGATTTTGTTCCTTAGTTTGAAGGTTTAGGGTCATGATTTCATAAGACATCCCAGGTCAGTGGCTTAATAGCATGCTTAGTGCTTCAATTCTACCTTCTAGTTCATTGAACAGCACACCTAGGATCATAAAAGCTTGCAAGTAGCCATCCAAGGCACAATTGACCTCTAGTCACCTGACACAACAGAGGAAGGAGGAGATTCAGGAATAGGAGGAGGATATGAAATGTGTGCCTAATTGCCTTCATGAACATCTGGCTTCTTTGCCATAAAACCAGAGGAACTGGATGGTGCGCAGCTACCATTAATGAACATTTTTATAAATGATTCCATATAAGAATCCTGATCCAAAGGGAGAAAACGCAGAATAGAATTAAAAATTTTCATGAACTCTAGACTTTCTGGAGTCATGGAGCCTGAATGAAACCCTAGAACTATTGCCTTAAGACAATCTTTAAATCTTAAACCAAAAGTATTCCCTGAAGTCATCTTAAAACCAAACAGTAGTTTCACTTAACTAGTAAAAAATGTCTGCCTGGAGCATTGTGCTCATTTTAAAACTGTCCATACAGGATCAAATTGACAACAGGGAACTCAAAAGATTAGATAGGAGCCTTAGGGTGCTTGGATTTTATGTTAATGAGGGAGGAACAACTCAGAAATGGGAGATGAGAATGGTTACACAACTCAGAGAATGTAAGCACAATTGTTAAATTGTCCATGGAGAAACTATTGAGTGCTCTCAGTAACTCTCAATAACTACAATATAAGTAAAATGTAGGAGGAAATGACTGGACACCCTCTGGGGCAGTTCTCCTTTGTCCTGTAGGGTTGCTAGGTGTTGGAATTGACTTGATGGCAATGATTTTTGTTTTGGATACTATGGTTATAGGTCACTGTTTTGTGATTTTTTTTTTTTTTTTTTTTTTTTTT